AAACCAAACACTCTGGTGTTAATGCTTACATACCCTGGTCAGCCTGAAGACAGTTGCATATTTGTTTTTGCATTAGATTTTGCATTGAAGCTCTTTGAGTCCCTTAGATGACAGATGCTACTTCAATCTTAGTATTGGTATTTTCGTGTTTCCATGGAACCCTGCTCCCTCCATGGACTTCTTAAAGCCACTGGTTGGGCAGAAAACTGATGGCTCCTGCCCATAGAATCCAGCCTGCAGTCACTGGGACATCTACTGCTCTCTCTGTGTTGATAGGGAATGGCAGAAAGCAAAGGCAATGACAAAACCAGTGCTGTTAACAGCTCAGGTGCTGTTAGTGGGGCAGAAAGCCCACCGCCCCTGGAGCCTGCAGAGCTGCAAGAACATAAGACTTCAAGGGGAGGATATGGAAGCCATGCGGAGGATGACAGAAGTATGCTTATTGCAGGATGTAAAACCAAGGCATTACAACATCTTCAAAACACCCTTCAATTCTTAGTGATTTGCTTCCCTACACAGTGGTAGGCTTTCTTTGGACTGTATCTATTTTCATCCCAAAGAAAGAAACAGCTAAAACCCCAGATAAGATCCAAGGACACCACAGCAGGCAGCCATACACAATTGATTTTCCTGCTTCCTTACATTCAGTGCTGCTCTGCTGACAGGTACTGATACAAGTGAAAAAATATTTTTGGAACTGATCTTCAGGCCACTGTTACCTGAATAAATCCAAAATGCTGAGAGACTTGTTTCACTATTTTGTAAAGGCCTTGGGAAGCAGAGAGCTGCTGGAAAGTGGTGACAATGAGCCACCAGCAGAGCACGGGATGAAGGGCACAGAATCCAGCTCAGCTCCCTCACTTTTCCTCTTGCAATCCCTGCTTGTGAGACTGGCACAGCTTTATACCAAAACATGCTTCATTTTCTGAGGCTTTTCCTGCACAGCCTTTTGAAGGCAGTTTTATCATAGACTACGATGTAGTGATGTAGAACATGAAAGTTCTGAAAAATATTTAGTTCAGGACCAGTTTCAGAAGAAAAGAGTAAGTGAACAAGGTATGGGGCTAACAAGGACACGATGAAATTCTTCCATAACTACAGGGTTAAAGAGCAAACATCAGGAAAAATTATTTCCACTACTTTTTTTTTTCTAATGGTCATAAAAATCTATGATGTTTCAAGATAAACATGGCCAAAGAATACACAGTTGTTGGTTACGCACTTCTGCTGACCTTGTATTCTACAACCAAGCGACAGAATTTGGACTTTTTGTGATTGTAGGGCTAGCAAGTTACACACAGATACATGAGAACCCAGATGATCCGCAGCACTGCATATATTAGTGTGCCTGTGTGGCTGCCTTGCATCAAGATAAAGAGAGAATAATGCTGCTGGGGAATTATGTGCACAAAGCTCTGTGAAGCAAGAATTAAAATGAATGAGATTAAATGGAAAATAACACATCAGGAATATGTTAATAATTTAATTAAAGTCTACCAAAGTTGAAATATTCCACAATTAAGGTTGAAGCCCATCAACATTCTCTGTTCTACTTGGGGATTTTGCCATAGGTAAAATTACCAGTTCAGAAACATTTCTCAATGTTTGAGGAAAACTGGGTCAACTGAGAGTGTGGTGGCATCGTTAACTTTGAAAATGTTAGATGTAGCTGTTTTCTCAGATTTTTAAGGATGCTTTATTAAATTTCTTTAGCGCAGCCTTATTTCTAAGATAAATGTGAACATTGATTGTTTTCAAAAACACAACAGGGGCAATTAGCACTTTTCTTTCCCCAACCTGGTTTGCTGTTTTCATCTTTTACCTAACCTTGTTTAAATGAAACTGTGTATACATTTAAGTCAAGTAGAAACACAGAACAAAAATGTTACTTAGTAATAGAGCACCAGGAGGCCATGACTGTGAAGGACATGGCACCAAAGGTAAATTTAACACTTTAAGGTAACAGACAACTCTTAGCTGAGCTTGGCATTACCCTTTCTACATCACCCCTTTAAAGTACTCCCTGTAACACTTCATCCAATCCACAGACAGCCCTATACACAGCAGTAGTAGATACTGTTGCCCATAGCATGCAGAGCCAAGTCCTTGCCCTCAGAGCCCTCCTACTACCTATTCTGCAGCAGGGCACGCAGCAGAGAACACCCCTACAAAACCACACACAACTTCACTGTCCACAAAACCAAGCAACTTTCATGTTCTAAAGTAACTGTGCACTATCACTTTAAAGGCTCAGTAACATAAAATATAGAAAGTCCCTCTCTGGTCAGTAACTTCACATAATGGGCAGGATCAGAATCTCCTTTTTCTCCAGTCGCAGTGAGAAGTGTACATGGAGAAAACACAACAGGAAGTTTTCTGCTGGCAGCAATGCCAACAATGCCAGGCAGACTTTTCCTATTTCCTGCACAGGGCTTTCCTACTGAGTGTAACGCATTTCTAGACTCTGAGTTGTAAGCAGAAGGTGACTGCACCATGCCCTGTAACTGAAAGTGGCTGTACTCGAAAAGTATGCTTTTAAAGGTCATGAGATGTTCAGTTTGTATATAAAGCACACAATCCTGCACTGCAACAATTTCAGACAGCAGTCCAGCGATACTTGCCATGATCAGCCGCAGTCTTATTGTACAAACATGGCAAGTCAGAAAGTCTCCAGAAATTAAAAATAAAATAAAATTCTTCAGCATTTGCACCTTTCATTCATATGTAATCTGAGTAAATGGCAAACATAAGACACTTTTGCTCTTCTAGTGATCAAATACCCTTAATAGAAATGCCATTAAAAGCCTTAATGGTACAGAAGAAATGGCACAGAGACATCAGGGGCCGTTTGCCTGGGGTCTGGATTGCAATATGTGGCTCTTCCCACATGCACACACTCAGAACAAGAGAACCAGTGCCCCAGTTAAGCCTAAAAATGCTGAAAAAAAAAGACAAGCCCATGCATTTTTTATATTGAACGTCTTGAATTTTGTCCTTCCTGGTGATGAGCTCGTATGCCTGTGCAGGAGGTTCCTGTGGTTTCGCTTAGGTGTTCAGCTCTCCCTGCGGGTGGGCAATGAGGCATGTCGGATACTTCAGCTCATTACTGGTATTCTTTACCTGCAGTAACGTAGGGAAATCCTGCTTTAAAATGGACAATACAATCTCATTATAAGCACTGCGTCTTTATGAAAGGGAAAATGAGAAAGACAAATGTTACTCCTGCTCATGAATTTGGCTCTTATCATTTCCCCTCTCTGCTCTACAGAGAGTTATTTCATTCATATTAGAGGTTATTTGGGTCACTTTTACCTAAAGAGAGAAAATAATGGTAACCTAATTTGAGATTGGTGGCAATTTAAGTAAGAAAATGGATTCGGAATATTTTGCACTGTTGCTAAATTTAACAGAGTGCTCAGTGAAGCGTGAGCTTTCAGATGTGAATAGGAGGCTTTCAACCATTTCCCCCTATTTGTTTTTCAACTGCATTTCTTAGCATTGTTAGCAATTTCATCTCATCCATCCGCAGCGTACTGAAACTGCATTCAATAACCTGACCTTTCACGTGTTAATCTAAACTTGATATTTAATTATTTGGTATGCAAAGTCAAGCATAAAACTAAGGAGCAAATAATATTTATTTACAAATAAAATCATGGTGTTTTACTGGAGATGAATGGGAATATTTGTGTTTACTGCTTTTCTAAAACCACTTGAAACTGTTTATTTTGAATAGGAATAAACAAAACATAGACGGCGCATATCAAAGTTTAAAATAACCACGGCAGTCAAAACCTGTTTCATCTCATTCATTTGGCTGCATCGCACACTCTGTGCAGTATAATTTTTTTACAACATACTGTGCAACAAAACAGGTCATTTAAATTCTGTAATTACTATTACAGATAAAATGACACTGCGGCACTGTTAATTACTATAGTACTGATGTAGTATAGGATATAATACATAATAGTCATGTCTTTAATTTTAAATTGAAGTGCAACAAAGCATATTATTGCTATCCTTCCTCTTCTTAATGTAAATGAATGCTATTCAAGTGTAGCATTTGCATCCACGCAGAACATTCTTAAATAAATCACTCTTCTACTTTAACTCAAGCTGGCATATTGCACTTTTCGATGACATGTAAGTTAAGGAACCTCTTGCTGTAGGACCTTCTCCTGTGACAGAGGTAAATGTGACAGAATTATATTCCGTCAAACAAAAAAAGATTTCTACAATTGTTTTCTGATTCATTACAGAAAATGTAAATCAGTTTTCCAGTGAAGTGTACCATTTAGTCTTTTTAAAAATAAAGCTGAATCTCAAAGACCATTACAGCTACTTGAGGTGTAGGAGGAACTGGAGATACTCATCAAACCATAATTAATTTTGTACCACTGTGGCCAAAACTTCTGGCAACTGTAGAATATCCAGAACAAAGAGCCTTGCAGAAGAGGACAGTGAATGGTTCGACTGCAGCATCAGAATGAGCAGGGCTCCCTGCTTTATGAATAATTACCTCCCTGCTTTTGCAGCACCTTTACTTTTGGATAACTATTATGAATATTGAAAGAAGAAAAAAAATGAGTTAAATTTCAGATTTGTTCAAGTGTACTTAAATCATTTATACCAGCAGAAATGTCCCCATTTTCAGTGGAAAAATTTAGTAATGAAGTCACCACTCAGATTTTGGATGAGAAATATTCTAAAAGCCTACTTATTTAGAAGTCTAATTTTCTCGCTCATTGTGCTAACCATGTGCCCCTGGATAGAACATCTACATATGGATTTACAGAAATGTTTTAATGTACAGTGTAAAATTCACATACTTGAAGCATGTCCTCAGGTCACATATTTCATCACACAGTAATAATGAGATACAATGCTACATTTAAATGAAGATGTGTAGGATGCAAAAGCTGGCATTATGTGTAATTGGTCTCGAGGAATTACAAATGATATTGAAAAATACACTTTTTGTCCCCTATTCTGTTTAGGTCAGCGGGACAATGTATAATACAGGGAGACACGTTTCTCTACGATTAGACAAAGAGCATTTGGTCAACATCTCGGGAGGGCCGATGACATACAGCCACCGCTTGGAGGAAATCCGGTTACACTTCGGAAGTGAGGACAGCCAGGGATCAGAGCACCTTCTCAATGGACAGGCGTTCTCTGGGGAGGTATGTCAACAAATTCCGAGTGACAAATGAAGCAGCATGGAATGGTACACTTTTCATTTCCACCTGAAGGTATTTGCAAACCAATTTGCAACAAAACCATTGTTTCCCTTAATCCAGTGTGGAATTCAGCTTTTATATTACTTTTTATTCCCAGCCCATGCATGGCTAAATGTGTGAGCTGTATTTAAAAAGAAACTGTTTAACTGCACTCAGGGACACCTTGTATTCACAAATACACTGCTTACAGAGCAACCAAATATGTGGATCCTTTAACTGCCAGCATCTCTCCTCCACGTATCTTAACAAATAAGGCAGTGCTTCAGAATAACCATAGGGATTATTTTTTAAGGTACTCTGTAAGTATCCTATTACCTTTCTTTTGGAAGATCAAAATGAATAGTTTTTTCATAGTAAAGAACTTTGTTGGGGAAGAATCAATTACCATCTGTAATATCTATCACAGATTCTGATGATCAGACAGTTAATGAGTGTTATTTTCTTTGGTGTTGTGCAGCAGCAGTTATTTAAGATCAGGACATTAACTGTAGGATTGTCAAATGATGTTATAACTGATGGCAACTATTTACTTTGAAAAGCTTCACAGATACATAACATAACCAGCAGCAGGTTTTTCATGAAATTACTCATGTTTTACACAGCTGACTTCTGGTTGCCTTGTTTAAATTCTGTGATAAGTCGGCATGAAATGTATGACTTCTTTAAGAGCCTAAAGTTAGGTGCTTTATAGTAAATTAGTATTTGCTTAGCTAATCATATTTACAGGTACCCAAATGAAAGCAGTTTGACTGAACAAGAAAGAAATATCCAGCTGAAACACACCTCTGCACTACATACAACATATCAGTATTGTTTCAGATGTTTTCAAAGGAATAGACAAGTTAGAAATTCATCACTCATAGACTATAACAGTAAATGTGTAGAGCATTTCTGTGGTATGCTTGATGTTAATACTTAACTACGCTCTGTGACTTCAAAAATAGAAGTTTCAAAGCACAGCAGTAAGTGCAGCTGGCATTGGATTGATAGACTTTAACCTTCTTCTCTGGAGACTAAACATGACAGTTTATCTCCTTCAGCCTTCCTTCCTGCAGCCAGGTTAATACTGACCTAACTTTGGCCTCAATACATTTCTATTCTTGAAACAATCAACACAGAACAGCTGTACCTGAGCCACTGTCCTGTTATGCTTGAAATACCACTGAGTAACTTAAAGAAGGTCCACATCAAAATGCCAGATGATGCAGTGAGACTTCAAAGTGGAGCTATGCAATGGTTTCTTGGAGGAGAGCAGGGTAGCAAAGCAGCTGCTCAGCTGGGAGAGCTACAGATGCTGCTGGCCCAGCTGCCCACCATCGCCGAATGCCCGATTGCCTGCGAGCACCATGGGAGTTCCCTGCACAGCCTTCCATGAAATCAGTCAGGATGTACCTTAGATGCTGCACAGCTGAGCTGTCCCACTTGCCAACCAGAGCCCTAGTTTAAACGCCCTGAATCTCTTCCAGGCAGTGCTCATTTCCATTTATTGGTTAAACAGAAAAGTCAGCTTTCTAACTTTGTTTCCCAGCATCATCAGTGAAATAGTGTGAATAGCTTCCTCTACCCTCTGTGTTGCCTCTGGAGTCTCTAGATCAAGGCCATCACCTTCCTATTATTTCTGAATTATTGCAATAATACATGTTGTCAGTATTAGGTATTAGTTGCTCTATTTTACTAATAGATACCTCAGTTCTCTACTAATAAAAGCAGAAAATCTAGCTAAGTGGAAACCACCGTCAGTCAGTCAGTGGTGCATCACTGGATCCACCATATAGGAAGGATTCATCTGATTATCTGAATTCCTCCTACTGTGAATGGAACAAGATGGGCATCTTCAGAGGATGAGCATTCCTGATAGCTAGAGACAAATCTCTTAGGACAGGACAAATCACTCAGTGGAAATGCATCTGCCTTGACAAGAGAGCAGATAAACAGCTGGCCAAGTAACTTTGATTAAGATGTCTCCTTTTTGGATGGTGGAGATGAATTCTAACCTTCAAGGATGTGCTTTTCAAAGTTTCAGATAGCCATTTTGGGCAGTCAAACAGATGAGTTCCAGTAAGGTCAAGTGTTAATTATCAATTTGGATCTGTATCTTCACAGTTAAGTCTTATTTATAGAACACATACTGTTTCCAAAGCACAAACACAGAGTCAAATAAATCATGTTGAATAGCATAGGTGCAAATTTGCAGTAAAGGATGGCAACTGACAGTGTTCTTGGGATGCACATTCACCCATACAAGCGCTGTCTATATAAATAAGTTATTTCCAATAAGCTCTCAGCACTAGGAGATCCAATGTTTACAGCTCCCAGCAACTAGAATGACAAAACTATGGACAAGTTAGCTAACTTCATGATTGAGTACATGACTTTGTCAGGTAACATATGCTTTCAAGAAAGCTGCTGCTAATTATTATCACTCCTGTGATACTGTCAAAGGAGATAGGATAAAGAAAAATAACTACATTAGTTTAATTTAGGTTGTGCAGCAACCACAGCAGTGAAGATTTTCTGGTTTGGGCTTTAGCAGGTGAAGGCAACCAGAGAAGAATCATTGCAGGATTCCACCATTTGATTGCTGGTTGCACAGTAATGCCCATGACACTTCCTCGTTGCTGCTGTTCTTATTTATTTTGGACAAAGTAACTATGGTGTTTACTACAACCTCTGTCTTGCTATAGAAACAATTCCTGAGTTACCCAACCAGCGTGATTCAATTCAATCCCCTCTTTTCCACTGACACTGACTCATCAACATCAGTGCACTGGAGAGAGGAGGGGAGCCTTGGGCAGCTGGGGGGCAGAGCACCCCTCCCTAACAGCACTGGAAACTTAGACTGGCTTAAACAGACCAGAGTTAAATCCAAATCCAGGGCAGGCTAAAGCTGCTAAGCGGCTCCATTATATTTTCAATTATGAACAGTTTTCCTTATACATCTGGAAATCAAGCTGAAGATCCACACTAAGCAAGAGGCCTGTTTTCAGAATGTTTTTTTTTGCATAGCAAAGATGTTCTGTAAGAGCACAAGCACTCAGCAAGCTGGAGAGCACTGGAGTGGTACCATGGAATGAAAAACATCCAGAAATAGCAATTCGTTTCAAAATGTACCATGGTCTGAGCGATACTGAGAGGCTTGTAATTTCCAGGCTTTAGGTGCTAAAGTCTGTCAAGAGAGATCTGGGTACCTTTTAGCCCCTGATGATCACTTCAGTAGACAGAATAACTGAACTAACGCCTAAATAGTTTCAATATAAGGGCTTTAAAAATGAGTATCAGATTATCATCAATACATTTAACACTGCTAACATGGAAAGAATGAAAGGCTTTGGAATGTTTAAATAAATAAATTGAGCATTTCTTTGTGCCTCAGATACATACTTGAGTGCATTCAAGTCTCCACTCTTTGCGTGAGCATCCTACTATTGTGTAGCAGTTCAAAGAAAATCTTGGCTCAAGTAAAGAGCACCACTAAGACACCAGTCAGTCATGTCTGCTGTCTAACATCTCCATGCAAAACTTTGCTTCTAAAAGCATTTGCTTCTAACACACGTGTCTGTATCATTAATGAGACCATCTTTCCTCAGAAAGGAAGAAACAGAGAATACAGCAGAATAGTGCTGCTGTTCAAGCTCTGTCTACCTTGTTAAAATATAAAATAAAATAAAGGCAACTGAACCTACAAGATTCATGAAGAAAATTGGACCCTTTAAGCTTTACTCCAACTACCTCGAGGCTGCGCATTGTAGTAGTCTTATCTACAGAGAGGAAGAAAGTCAAGGAGCTTAATTATTTGATGTTATGCACTTTTCAAACAAGACTCCATACTCCAGAATATAGATATGCACATATAAAGCAAAGATTTATTCTTTTCTGCCCACCAAGTCATCTTCTGAAAACCTACTGATAGACATTATGAGCACAAAATGACTTCACCTCCTACATAAATAAAATGATAGCCACGAAGTGTCTGGATAAATGAACATATATTGCATCTACACAGAAAGTTTGAAACCAAGATTTTTTTTTTCTGCTGCAAAAGCCAATAAAAAATTGAAGCAAAATATAAGAAAACAGAGCTGGGAGATAGAGGCTAGAAATTCTGAAAAACAGCCTTCTACTACTTCATTTTCTAAGTGGAATCAGGCAAATTTTACATGAGTAGGGAACTTTGAATGATAGTGAAGGATTATTTATCAGAGAGATCAGTGTTGCAAATCCAACTTCTGATATTTTTAGAAGCAGGACTGACAGATAAACAGCCTGTGAGAAACATCAGCCAGCTGAAATAATTTAATCCAGTCTTCTGCAGAATTAGAACGATCTCAACCGCTAAATCAGAAAAAGTGATATTGTCATGGAGGCCTTCTGCACACCTCTGATTTGCCTGCGTAGGTCTGAATAACCTCTCCCAAAATGCTTCTGTCAGTATTCTTATACCAAGCAGAAAAACTTTACTGGAATAGTTTTGATACAACCATATATGAATTACGACGTCAGTGATGCTGGTGAAACAAAGCAAGTCACAGCTCATCAGCAGGTCAGAGGAAACGGTAGGCACAGGCTGACCCTAAGTGTACTGCAAGCCAGCCACATCTCCTTTTATTGGATGAGGCCCTAACTTCTTCCAAAGGTAAATGTTAGCCATGCTTCTCTGTGACATTTGGCTCAGGCCTCTGCCTCCTTTTCTGCATTCTGCACAAAAACATGTTTTCCCCATACATTTCCCTGTGCAATATTTACTATCCTTCATCCAAGCCTGGACTTCTGTTTGCTTTTATTTCCCTGTAGGATCCTCACTGATGTGAGGATTTGAGATTCTACCAAGGCTGTTCAACAAAATACAGGGTAGCACATCATCCTTCCTCAGGAAAGGCACATTACAGCAGCAGGTGATGCCCATTGCCATAGGTCATCTGTATTTTGGAAATTTTTTTGGAAAT